AAATTTCTTGGAAATGACATCGAATTCCGAGAATTTCTTATATTCTTCGAACTGACGTCAAATTCTTGGTAATTTCCAAATGAATTTCGATCGAACGAAACTTTCGGCCCCAAATATGACTTTTTATTAGGAGAACATAATGGAGTTTATACACAATTTAATGGAGTTTCTACACATTTGTCACATATTTACCATCCTCCTACTCAATTTTTTAGCACTCCTTTTGGCGTTGCTGCTTTTTTTAGAGCCGTAAAGCTTTCTTTTTCATAATTTACGTAAATCTAGATTCTTACTTTTTGCGCACTTATCTCCTATCATGAAAGTTGCCATTTCTTTTGCGTTTTTTATGATTTTTGTAATTTTTAAAGAATCGAAGCACTGTATTTTTATTATTTGGAATATCATGGTTCTTTTTAATAACCGATTCCATAATAAAAATTTATTTCTTCATTTTGTGTATCCAAAGAATCTTTAGTATGTTCAAAATAAATAAACATCAAATATGTTTATTATCTCACCTGGTATACGTAGTTATTGCTGTTACAGTGATGAATTATTGGTATGTTACCGATTTCATGCACAGTTGTGTATATACACTTACAAAGGACTTTATGATATAATTTTTTCAACATATACAATTGAGGCCAGTAATATTGATTGAGATAGCGTCTAAGTAACAGATTCACCAACATTTAATTTATTAATGTTTATCAAATTTACCTCTGTCTGTGCCAATTTCGCCCTGTCAACCTTTTGCGCATCTGCGCAAACACTTAGCCTTGGCACCGCTAATTGTTGTGCAGCTTTCTCCTTTTCCTTCGCCTCTTTATCTATAAATATAATCGAGATTTGTCTGCAACGAGATTTTTATCTCAACCTCCGTTTAAAATTTATCAAAAGAAAATAGAAGTCCATTAACACGTTCGTTCGTATCAATTCTAAAATTATTATCTCATAGAGTTATCTGCAATCATAAAGACTGAGCTTCGACAAAATCTGCAATAACAATAATATGATTCTTATACTCACTGCTACAATCCTGTGAACTGGCCCAACGTTTACGATCCTCGGTTTGCAAAGTGTTTCCGCTCCCGTGTTTTTTGATGCTCCTTCCCCAGCCTGCAGTGATCGTGCCGAGCCTCGAGAACGCCCGCTTCATCATCGGTGACGAGGGCACGCTTTTAGGTCTAAACAAGTCAGAGCCAGTATCTCACAGAAACCGCAGAGCGGCACCTCAGGATACGGAGAGGAAATTCTTCTTAGAGAAAGAAAGATCATCGAGATCGGAACAAATTGGATCCATGATGGAACGTTCGAGGGATGGAACTATTCATTTTTTTTTTTTTCAAAGGTTTGATCGGAGTTTTAAGTGGACGTTCCTGAACGCATCGAATAACAGCAGTAAAAAATGGAGAACAACGTACGAGACAACGACGAAAGCTCGTCTCCTTCGTTCGCAAAAATTGGAGAATGCCAATAAAGAGAATATAGAGAAACCGAGCAGAGACAAGATTAAGAGATGATAAATTGAATTAATTCGTTACTCGAACGAGTTTACCGCATGCCTATATAGCCAGATCGTATGCCATAATCGTTTCTAAGTAAAATTTTAAGATATCGAACATATTTTTTAACCCTTTGCGGACGAAACAATTGAAAGGAATAACAAATTGACATCACTTTTATATAATTATGCGATTCGTACTAAAAATACAAAACATATTACCAATTAATCATAAGTGTATTCATGTAAGCAGAAACGATTGTTCAATAATAGAGATTAATTTTATAATGTTCAAGCATTATAAAATTTTCTCCGTAAAAACGAAGTTCTGTTATATCTCAAAATTCATCAAACAAGTTGTGAAAACAATTTTTGATTTCCTTTTCTTTCCTTTAAATATCTTCTATCTCTATTTCGACTAATAAAACGATCGATATCTAATATAGATGCGCTAATAGATAGAACGAATTTGAAAGATAAATTCTATTTGCGAGTACACTCGTCAGCAATGGGTCAAAATTGAGAGAAAAACCGAGAAGATGGGAGGCAAACAGAGCACGCACGGCAGAGGAAAATAAAAAAGAAAAAGAAAGAAAGAAAGAAAGAAAAAAGGAAAATCGACACGTTTATCACGACCGAAGCTAACAAGATAGATATAACGTTAATAATAATTAACATGGCTGGTGTGATAATTCGATAGTTATTCTTGCAGTGCTTTTTCTTAACGTTTTCAACTCGTTTTCAAATTATAATTTCGAATAATTAAACATGCTACACAATATAATCATTCAAAAGACAAGGAAAATATAAGACACCGGATTTCAACTATATCTTGCATCGCAGAAAATTCCATTTGCGTACGTAATATAATACGGAAATTTTGTCAAAAGTGAAAATACTTATATAATCGCATGCGGTGCTGCGTATAATTGTTTGTGTATACGAGTGTGTAAATGTGTATGTATGTGTGTGTGTGTGTGTGTGTGTGTGTGTGAGGATAGGAGACATGGAAGTGCCGTAAAAAATACACATAATTACGATTAAATGTACGATATATAATATATAATATAAAGATATGTATATATAATTACATTCGATAACGACATCAAAGGCAAATTCAAATTCTCACCGTTACTTCCGGCTCTAAATAAATCCAGTTATATCCTTATCTTAGTCCATTTATATTTATTTATTAACCCATTTCTTTCGTGCATCGAAAATAAAATAAAATAGAAATGTTAAGATCGGTAGGATTATGATAAGGATTCGTATATATTTGTTTCCATGCGAGTGATAAGTCCTTTTTGATTAAGAGGAGAATATTTTACCGGTTAATATTCTATAAAAAGAATTTTAACAAGGAGAGAATAGGAATGAAATAAATATTTTAACGCAGGAAAAGAAAGTTGAAAATAAAAGAGAAGAAAAAATACAATTGATTGATTCTTTAATTTACAAAAAATAATATAAACAGTATAAATTATAATAATATAATATAATAAAATGATACAATAATATAACAAAAATAATACAATATAACAATATAATAAAACTATATTATTAATTACATTAATATTAACGTAAGTATAAAATATTATAAAATCTAATATGTATAATTTAATTAATATATTGTTAAATTTACGTATAATATAATATTGTATTTATAGAAAAGATAAAAATTGTATAAAAAAAAAAAACTTAAAAAAATATAACTTTCTTTATAATTAGAAAAAAATGGATTAATGAATACATTGCATTGGATCAAACTGTGAATTATATGATTGTCATCAATAAATATTTTTATTCGTTGCATATGTATTTATTAACCTTGATCGATATATAAACTGGATTTGAAAACAAAAATGCACAATTCTAATTAACAAAAGTAATTCGCAAGATACAAACCTTGGACTTTCCACGTCAGGAACTTGAAGAAAGTTTGAACTTCTTGGTTTCTGTGGACTGAATAATGTGGGCACTGGCCTGGCAAGTAATTCGGCAACCGGTACTTGTGGACTTCCGAAACCGGCTTGAATTCCGTACAACATTTCTTGGAAGACTCTAGAAAAAATTAAAAAAAAAAAAAAAACAGTAATCTTATACGTACCTATTCAAAAGTCAATTTCTTATTTATATTCTTAATATATTTAATTTTTAAGTAAGAGTTTCAAAAATTTAAGGCAATATTATAAAAATAGTAATAAAATTAATAATGTAATAATAGTGAAAAGAATACAAAAATATGAAATAGAATTTTGTGGAAAGTGAAATTTATTTTGATATCAATTTTACATATATTTGAAAAATTATTAATACATTAATAACGTGGAATATAATTTAATTCTTGATTTGACAGATCTAATACCTGCTTCTGACTGCCAAAATCGCTCTAACACCAAAGAATCGAACTTTCTGCTTCTGTGGACCATGCACCAAGAACGAAATATCGAACAGATTCGTATTTAACGTGGCATTCTCTTGATCGTTCAAGAACACCTTAGTGAAATCCTTGGCAAGCTGGTCTGGATCCTCGAATTGATCCCTGACGGAATCCAAAAGAGGCGAAGACGGTCTCATGTGTCCTATTGGTCTCCACGAACCGCGCCTGTAAAAAAAAATAACAACAATATCAGTTGTAATAATTGTATATAATTTAAATAAAATATTACGTAAAGTAAAAATCAGTGTTTAATTTATTTTTTTATTCACCTGTACGGCTTTGGAATTTGGCCAGTTTCTGCGTGATTGGCCAAGTTAGCTACAATGTCTTCCAACATTTGAGTCCTTGTTCTCTCTTGCATCTTTGCGAATTTTGGCGCGGAATAACTCGCTCTCTCCCCGTTGACAATTTTTGTCAATAACCACTCACGAAACATGGGACCTGTTGAATCGAAAATAAAAATGTATGATATATATATTAATAACTCTTGGAAATCACACTCATACATTTTTACAAATTAAGATAGAATGTAGCGTAATAATTAAATATTATTTACCCTTTTTAAACACATTTTGTTCCCAAAGATAAGGTTTGTACGCCCCAACTTCGTCCCTCGTAGCGACGGATACTTCGTATCTGGTAACCTTCCTTTTTATCCGTGGACTGACTCGAACCAGAATAAACGTGTAGAGGAAATGCGACTTCATACAAGCTGGATTGAACGACGTTTTGTCAGCCTCCAAGAACACGACGCACACTATATCGTTTCCTATGTGTCGCTTCTTTTGCACCTAAAAAGAAAAAAAAAATAATAATATTATTACGATTATCTTGAAAAATTAATAAATATCAAAGAGAATAGATCGATCAAATTGAGAGGCATAATGAAATTAATGACATTAGTCAGAAACGAATATATCAGAGAAAAGAATTTTTCTTTACCCTCTGCACGTCGTGTTTCTCATTCGGGAGAAACGTGGACACGTGGTACATGATCTCGATCCCTCGCCAATTGGTGTAGACCGAGTACAATCCGGTCAGATCGTGAATCGTATCCAATCCACCCTTGTACTTGTCGAAACCCTTCAGACGAATTTTATCGCCGAGGATCTGCAGGAACTCGTCGAACAGTGGCGAATTCTCGTGGTTATCCAATATCTCCTCCTCCGTGCACTGGTTCTCCTGTACGTAAAGAACCCCGACTTTCAGCTCCGATTTTATGAACACCTGATCCAGCTTCAGAAGCTCGTCCTGGGTGTCAGGTAATTGGCCCAACGTTAACGGTGGATTCACATTCACCTCTTTGCCTAAACTACGCACCACTTCCTCTCGATTGTACCTGCGAGAATGAAAAATAATTTTTAATTATACGAAAATAATATCGATTTATTTTAAATTTTCAAAAAGAAGAGATTTCGAAAAGTGATTACAGGGGATTATCCGATTTAAAATTTTGTGGAGTTTTCATAATTTGTATTATTTTTTTTTTTTTTTAATCGTTGATAAGTCTAAAAAAAGGAAACGTTACGTCTGCGAACTGTTAATGCATCAACAGATTTAGATTTTATTTGATTTCACTCCGACAGCGTAACATTTCTAAATGAAAATAAAAGCAATTCTGTGTTGCAGAGAAATCTGTGTTGTCTTTCACTAAATGATTTCTAAAAGCGTATATATGTTTCACATAAGTACGTGCTCCTCGTAGCAATAAAGTTAAATATTTGTTATTTGTGCAGCGAATAGCATTCTATGATTCTTTCAATTGTGTGTATGGGATGTAAATAAATTTGTAATATTCTCAAAAGTAATTTAAAACGTATCTTCCTATCCGAGACACAAAATTTCCATTACACCCTTTTCATTTCGAAATGTAAAACAACTTCTCTCTTAATTCCATTTACTTAAACGATATTAATGTCTCTAGAGAGAGTTAGGATATAATCATTCTTTACTCTCACTTTGAACTGTGACGCTACTCGATATGCGTATATTACACTTGCAAGCGAAATGGCTGACTTATACCACTTGTTCGACTCGTTCCATTCGTGTTATTGATTTTTCGAAAAATTACTTTTGCAATCAACAAATTTCTATCCACTTAGGATAATACAAATGAATATTTTTCCAAGAGATATTCGATTGAAAAAAAAAACGTATTAAAAAATATCGAACTTTTCCTACAAAATTATAATTAAAAAATAGAAAACTGAATAAAATAAATACCTGTCAGCGAACACACAACTCGCTGGAATCAGCCCGTGTACGGTGTAACTGATTGCCCTGACGAGAATTCTGAACTGATCCCGACTGTTCAACGTTTCCTGCTTGATACTAAGTATCACGGGACCAAGGTCGTCGTCGTTGGTGAAATAATTCCAATGCTCAGTCCCATAGAAATATTTCTCGTACGTCTCTTGTTCGACCGAGGTCAACTCGAATCCTTGGTTCTTCTCCCATTGTTCCTCGATAGTGGTCTTCTTTCTGGGCACTTCGTCGGTGTCAGACTCTTGCTGGACCTCGGCCAATTCTGTGTCGGTCGCTTCTCCGCTCTCGCTCTCATCCCAGATCGTGTCAGAGGTGATCTGCTGTCTGGAGCACTCGATCCAGTAGCCAGGTGTCGGTATCAGGTTGTGAGGGAACTCGTTGCAGAATTCATCTATTGGAAAATGTAACATTTTGGTTAGTCATATTGCAGATTATTATGGATAAAAGTAAGAAAGGAATGGATGGTCTCTCTTCGTGAGGATTTAAGGAATAAATTAATTTGAACAAATTAGAATTGGATTGTTTGAATTTCTTTTTCTTTTTTTAAATAATAATTTTGACGTAATTTTTATATATCCGTTTAATTTTTATCGTATCCATTTAACCAAAGAATGATTTTTTAAATTAAGATTAAATTGAGATTGAAATTGTGAATAATCTCGAAAATAATAATTTTAGAATATAATTATTTTATGATATTAAGAATACGTATATATAATTTTTTTTAAAAGTATTCATTGTACCCATTAATCGAGTTGAATAATTAATTATTTATTATTTTTAAACTGTATTTATTATATCCTTTAATAATTTATAACCTGAATTTTATTCACTAACGAGAGAAGAGGATTGTAATTTATTACAATTTTGAAGTTTAATGGGAAATTCAGAAACTAGTAATTTTATTAAAAAGACATTGCGCAACTTCATTATAATGATGTACGACTAAAATGTAATTCCGTGAGCGAGAAGCAAATAAAATAAAATTAAAAAATACAGTACATGAAGTATTTGTCGAACGTTGTTCGAATACCGAAAGAGATTTTATTTGTTTCATTCGTTTGTTACTTAATTACGATTATACATTTCGTTAATCGTTGTTCATTATTTAATACTCGGTATTAATTTCTCCGATTTTCTTTCTTTTATTTGTTATATAACAGAAAAATTTACTTGTTTGTTTTTACTTTTATTTTTATGCGAAATAATTGTTACTTTCATTTAAACTTATTTATTTCTTATTTCTCCATTTAACAGAATAATCATTCTTTCTTTTCGACGAGAATCATTATCGTTTGATATTTATTCATAAAAAAAATACAAACTAACAAATCTACAATCACGTAATTATAATTTTAATAAAAACTTGCAACTTCTTGCACAATTCTGAATTCACTATAACACTAATTGAACACAGTAGATATCAAATAATTTTTACATATACCACGTATCTAATTTTAACAATCATATACCAAATTCAACAATTATTTATCTATCAATGTAACAACGCTGCACAAACGTTTTTGTAAACATATATCATTATTACTTACTTTATCTTTTAAAAGTAACGACATCTAAAAATGATTATCTTCACGAATCTTCTCAAAATAAACAGAATAAAAATTCTTTTTCAAAAACATCATGCAGCTACTTCACACCCCTCGAAATCTATCCCCAACTTCATTTCCCATTATTGTCCTCAATTCACCCTTCCATCCTCCTTGAAACAACACACTTCTCGCATCCTCGACCGAGGACAGGACGAAATTTCAACGAATCCACCCTCTTACTATTCACCCTCCACCACCCTCCACCCCGAAGCAACAGTCGATCCAAACCACCTCGAAGACGTTTCCTCGTAGCCACGTGGAAACGTGGAGGAGTCGTGGCCTGGAAATCATTAAGGCTGCTGTTGGGGTCGAATCCGATCGAACGCTATCGGGGGTTGCCCTCTTTCAAGGATTTTTTTCTTTCGATGTGCAACTAGGCTACCCGTCCACTTAGTCACGTATCGCCTTTTCCCCTTCGCAACATTCCGCTTTTCATCGATCCGCCCTTCTCTCTCTCTCTCTCTTTTTTTTTTTTCTCTTTAAAAGGTTTATGACACGGGGATTATTGCACGAGATATCTTTGAGGAAATTGTTGGATGAAATTCTGGGAAAAGATTTTGGGAAATGAAGCATCGTGGATATTTTTCGTGGATATAAAAAATAAAGTTGCTAAATGGCACGAAGATTATATGATAGATACGTCATAAATCCTTGATAATGGATAATTATTGTGATATTATTATTATTATTATTATGAATTAAGATAAGTAGGATTGATGATTGGTAAATTTGAGAATCGTTTTATATAGCGTCACGAAAAAAGCTTTTAAGATAAAAGATAAGATGGCTTGATGGAGGATGACGAATACGAATCATGAAGACGATATATTTGAAAATTTCTACAACTATTAATAATTAAATCTTAATGCAACATTTTGTTTGTAACTTTTATTCTTTATGTATATAATTATATCATATATTATTGTAAAAATTCGTTTGTTATTTTTCCATCTTCGTTTCTTCCTTCATCTAGATTTAACCCCTAGTAAAAACAAAGAAATAGTAAAAATTCAACTGCTATTTATATATTGAAAGGAATTAAATATATTTTGATATTTTCTTTTTCTCTCGATAATTCAGAATAAATTCAGATTAAGTTCAAAATTGTCCGACAAAAGGAGGGAAGAATTAAGAACTTCTAAAATATCCTATCGAAACAGCAATGATTCAAGAGAGAATCTTCTCAAGGGGAAAAATCGCAAATCAAGCGATATATCTCTCGAATACCGACAAATTCCTGCTAAAAATTCCCTCAGATCAATAAAGCCAACGAGAAAACGCTATATTTTTATCAATAAAAAATTAATTTGTGTATAATACACGTGTTATACACCAACCTTTAGATGGACACACACGTTCAACACACACTCGCTCTCTCTCTCTCTCTCTCTTCTCCTTTACTTGTTGGAACGTCGACGATACCACGGTCGACTCACTGTAAGGTAGAACACCAACTGTTTATAGACAGGCTTGGTATTCGAACTTAAAGTGAACCGGCCCCGGTGCATCCTCGTCTCTCTCCCTCTCCCTCTCTCTCTCTCC